CCTTGGAGTTCCTTTTGTTCTGTTCATTCTGTTATTTTGTTCTTGGTGTGATAGGTTTTCTCAAATGTCCAGAAATCCTACGCTATCTATGTATATTTAAGATGACGCACCAATGAGCTGACTGGGTGTTCCATGGGTGGCAGTTGTTGAGACATGGCTTTATATAAGGTGAGCAGGAAGAGGTCTCTTATGTAGTTTTTTCCTCTTGAGGCTAAGCTGGTCCCCTGCCTTTGTGGAGCTCAGTAGGGGAGGGGGATATCACACTATTTACTGTATTTTCATCACTTAATCACTGGTGAGACAATTAATCCTTTTGCCCTGATCAACTATGCCTGATTCCAAGGTATCAGAGAGAAGACCTCCAGGCTATGGTTGGGATGTAGGAAAATTTCTAAAGATCCAACTGCTTCTCTTACAAACTTTCAACCAACTCCCATTTTCCTTTACCCTCACCTCTGCCTTCAGATGTACCTGGAAATCTCTGCTATAGACAGTTTTTAGCTTTCTCTGACATGCTACTAAGTCAATTGTAAGTTTGGGTATCTACTTTTTTTTTTAGAAAATAAAAACTTTATTTTTTCAGGTTTATAAGAAGTTTCCATTACATATAACATTATGGTCAAGGACTCTACAGCCACAAATGCCCGCAGTCACATAAATATATCCAATCAATGCCTTTTCCTGCTAAATGAGGCATCTGATGTCCAGAGGGTCATGTTTCGAGTAGAAGTAGTCCTTAATGGGATGGCTCCCATCAGTGCATTAGGAACTAGCCAAGTAACCTTGTCTGCTCGAGCTGTCTGACTCAGAGGACAGGAACGGACAGATGGCCTGCTGATCAGAGATGGGACAGAACTAGACCTTCTCTCGTGGTTTAAGATATTTCAAAATCTCAGAATTCAGATTTGGCTTCTACAGCATATTTGGGGGAGTTCCAACTTTTGGATGAAAAAGGAAACCAATGTAGTGGTAAGAAATAGAAGACCGCTTAAGAGGGGTCCTAACTGCCCCCTTCCTGCAGGAGTGAGGAGAGGAAGGTCCCAAGCTCACCGGCCCTTGGCTTAGACCATCGCTCTCCCAGGAAGAGGGAGAGAGTGGCTCCGCCCCTCGACTCCTCTCTCCCATGGTTCAGTGGCACTGACACCCATTCAAAGTAGTGAACATCTAGAAGTTCCATATGCTGCAGCTGGAGTTTGCCAATCAGATTCTGCTTGGAGCTTTAATGTGAACAAGTTTGTGTAAACAGCAAACAAGCCGTGGCACAAGTCTCCTGGGACACTAGCTTTGTTCCCCCAACCTGCAGAGCAGAAGACAGGAATACCCCAAACCAAATAAAAGCCCAAATAGGCATCTAAATCTGGAGCAGACATTCATTCTCCTGGACACCACCAGCTGCCCCAGGGTGATGCTAAGGCACAGTCAGTTTTACATTAGAAAGTAAAGCCACCTCTTAAACCCAGGACACAGCTGGCTACCTACTTCTATCTTCCAAAAGTGTACTGACCCCATCACTTTGCTGTTGTCTCCTGTCCTCTTCTCTTTCTTTGTGGGTTTGTGCCACTTTTAGCTGTTTTTTTTTCTTCTTCTTCTGGCTGTTTAATGGAGTTTGGGGAACAGAGGCAAATGTATATATTCGATCCATCCATATGTCTTACTTGAACTCTGGTAACTTCTCTTTTTCTCTTAATAATAGGTAATGAGGTCAAGGACAATCCTAAAGGCTGGCTTGGTAGGTGGAGCCACCTCCATTGCCCCCTATTCTTTGATATGCACACCTGATGAATTAGTAGTACATGGCTCTTCCAAGGAAACTTTAACTCATCTCCACCTCCAAGAGACTGCTACTTCTACCTCCCTCTAAGGAAATTCTGTACTTCTGCTGTTGGAAATTTTTACATCTCAGAAATACAGGTCTACCTCATTCTTAAAAGGGTAGTACTATAAGAAATTAATAAATTAACCAGTTCCTCCATCAGTGGACATTTAGATTATTTTCAGGAATTACTATTATAACAAGGTGGCAATGAACATTCTTTATAGTCATCTAGGATTACATCTGGTGGTACATCTGTGGGTTAAATTATTAAAGGTAGAATTACTGGGTCAGATACTTTATGGATTTTAAGTTTCTCACTGATTTTAATGCTTTCTATTCTAACTTTATACAGGTGATTATAACCAAAGAAATGCACTGGAATCTGGCTAAAGAACAACAACACAAAACTTCACGATTCACAACCTCAGTGTTACCTAACACTGACATTACCTAAATGTCAAAATGAGGAGCAGCCTGCATTCTTACAGGAAAATGGGAATGTTTTTGACAATTTCCTCTTCTCAGTGTGTACCCTAAGAGCTTATGTTTCACACATCATTACTACTATCATATTTACTGGGATATCATCATCATTCTTGCCAGAAGGAAAACTGCATTATCCAAATTTCCTTTACAATGAATGAGAAGGTACTAGAGCCTTGGGGAGTTGACAGTCACACTTAAAAATGTTTATCTGTAGTTTTTAATCTATAGGATTTTGTTCCCCTGAATGGGCCCAAATTTATAGCATTCTCATGACGGTTCAAAGTATATCAAATTTTTTTTTCTGATGGTCACATTTGATTTGATTAGTGATGCTTATAATTGTTACACAGGGCTCCAGGGTATTTATGAAAAGCCTAATCCTGAAACACATCTTTATCTGTTGAGGACAGTCTTTTCAGGTTGTGAAATCAAAGATGGATGAGGAAAATTGGTTTTAGAAATAACTGAACCTCCAATAAATAGGAAATAAAGTATATTTCCAAGGGAGATATTTTAAGATACCTAAATATAAATTAAATTTTCTTCATATGAAAAATAATAGAACTGTATGACATTGTTTTCTGTTGTTCACATGACCCATGAGGGTAGGGTGAAAACTGGTCCTGGACCTGGCAGACAGCTTAGTAGAATGTATAACCAGAAGCTTGCCCAGACACCAGAATCTCCTTTGCCAATTCATCGTGAATCAGCATTAGATGCCAATTAATATAGGGCATTCATAGAAAATACTATGGGTTCTGTCTAAGGGAATGGTTGATGTCATTCTTCATTGTCTACTAGGCATTTTTTAAGCTATAAAAATAGTAAAATATGTATTTTTATTTGTTGCAGGCTAACTGATTAATGTACAATGTTCCTTTAGCAATAACAAGTCATCTTGTTCTTCCTGGATTTGAGTGGGAAGAGACCAATACAACCTTGAGTTGGATGCACCAGCAGAAGCCTTTTTTAAGAGTACATGCCACAGGACTTTCCTGGTGGTGCAGTGGTTAAGAATCCGTCTGCTAATGCAGGGGACAGGGGTTCGAGCCCTGGTCCGGGAAGATCTCACATGCTGCAGAGCAACTAAGCCCGTGCGCCACAACTATTGAGTCTGCGCTCTAGAGCCCATGAGCCACAACTACTGAGCCCGTGTGCCACAGCTACTGAAGCCTGCGCACCTAGAGCCTGTGCTCCACAAGAGAAGCCACCACAATGAGAAGCCCACGCACCACAATGAAGAGTAGCCCCCTCTAGCGGCAACTAGAGAAAGCCCGCACGCAGCAACAAAGACCCAACGCAGCCAAAAGTAAATTAAAAAAAAAAAAAAAAAGTACCTGCCAGCATTCAAATTGATCATGGCTATGCAGGTATAACTACACAACTATAACAATGACAATTGCTAAGAACATAGCAACCTAAAAATATCTTGGGATTATGTTTGGTAAAATACTGCATTAGCCTCTGTTATAATTATAACCATCAAAATATACTTACACAAGAACAAGTTACTTAAAAAAATATTAATAGTTGAGGGGTTAGTATATCAGATCCTCTTGGCTCACCTGTCTCCCAGATGTTGGCCTTTGATGGGCCCCAGCTGAGATGGCAACCAGCTTCATGGAAGCACAACTCATTGGCCTGCACTTCATGCATGCCCTTGCTGTGTGCCTCTTACCCTGACAATGGATTTTCTTGTTGCCAATGAGATGTGAGACACAGTGGGACCTGCCCACACATAAATAACCCAGGACAATGGGGGGTGCTACCCATCTAAGGGGAGACTTTTTACACAATCCTGGGAGATAGGAGCCGGTAGATAATCTCCTCTCTTCCTGCCTCTGGACAAACTGCTCCAAGACACAGTAGTTCAAACAGCTTTTAAAAGACCTTCTTTCGAGAGCAGGCAATCAGTTGCTCTTGACACCAAGCGGTGGTCAGTTAGGAAAAATGGTCAGCCTGGTAATGCCCCATCTCATACTTGATTCTCCTCCTTCCCTACCTCCTTCCTCTTTTCTATCATTCCTGATTCCCTGACATTGTATTTCCTTATGAAGTATTAGATTTTGCCTCAGCTTTATTTTCTAGAGAACCTAGGATACAATAAGTCAGAATGATGGAAGAATCTGTCTGTGGAAGAATTTTTTTATTTTCAGTGTCACTGATAGTCTTATTTCTACAATAAACTTTGTAAGAATCATAAATCTTTCTCTCATTTACAATTTAACTATTTCATTTGTCCTTCCATCAAACATGCTGGCCATCTAGCAAACTGATAATCTGCAGGTTGACAAGAGACCTGAAATTCACTAAATCATGCTAAGCCTCAAGCTTCAGGGCACATGCAACTCCTATTTGCTCTGCAAAAAGCCAGAGGATCCAAGATGTTAGGACCCCAAATCACTTCTCCTTAGGCTTTGTGCCTTTGGGCTAGTTTTCGGTATTTGATCTTTTCTCTTTCTCTTCTGAACTCAGGATAGTTAACACTGACCACTATGTCAGCCATGGGTCAAGTTTTAGCAGACTTAGACGTATTAGAGAGCAGAAAAGTAAAATACAGAACTGAAATATAGAGAAACACACTTTAAATCAATGTATACATTGAACATTTACAGGGATTATATATGACTTTTAAAATCAAAAGGAAACAAATGCTATTTTAAAAAAATAAACGAAAGAGATTATAACTGACTCTTACCAGGTCCCAGTTCCCAGTGGCCCAGTGACAGCAAGGGTGCCCATTGCAGGGTGCAATGGATGTGGGCCTTTTCGTCCAGTCACACAGGCCTCCTGGACAAGTCACTCCTCTCTTCTGAATTCCACCTCCACATGACCTGGAACACTGGTCCACAACAGGGACAAAGTCAGGTAAAAATCACATGGTGTCATTTTCAGAGATAAAGGGTAGGGACGTGTCTTTTTTCACTGTATCTTCAGTGCCTGACACTGCACCTGGCAGATGTGAATATTCAGTAGATGCTGAATAAATGTTTACTTTATTTAGAAAAAATACTTGACAGTTCATCTCTAGTTCCACACCCTGTATGTCAACCCATTCCCCCCTAATTATTTAGTAAGAGGGTTCTTTTTTCCTTTTTCAGTTTGGAAATAAAAAAATGAATGTTTCAGGTAAGTCTGGAACAAGAATTTTTTTTCTATGACATATTATTAAGTTACAAAGATATACATGTATATAGTATAAAATATAACCTATCTTTAGAGCAGAAATTCCCATGATTACTGAACAAATATTCATGATTACTGAATATTTCAGGTGGGGATTAAAAAATCAGTTTGGTAATCACTGGTTCAGCATTACTTGAGATAAGGCCTAGCTTATTGCAGTACATCACAAAGTTGGTAGCAAGAGTTAGGCCCAGCTATATTAATTCCAAATCTAGGTAGCTTCGTCTAATCACCAAAACATGTTCCTAGTGTCTGTCTGAATTCACAATCATGTGTATTTAGATGTTTTTCATCAAAGTATGCTAGAATAAAGAATTTAGATTGCCAAAACAGCTATTATTAATTTTTAAATAAAGAACTCAAGACAGAAAAACTCAATAGAATTATGTTTTCTTTAAATGCTTTTACTATTATTTTTGCTGTGCACACTGTTATTAAGAATATGAGTATCTCTATTGGAATCTGGAACATTTGTGCCAGGTTCCTTACAGTGACCACTCTGTCATTTCAAATGACAAAGGTGAAACAAGCCCCAGGACTCAGCCCTTCCACCAGCAGGTAAGCTCCAGACCCGGACCCCACAGGGCCCACTGCCACCCGCACTGGAACCTTGCCCCAACCACCAGTGGGCCAAAAGTAGTTCCAAGATCACCAGGCCATGCAGCTAGCCATGTTATGAGCTGGCCCTTCCCATCAGCATGCCAGCAGCCACCAGATGAGGCAGGGCCTAGGAATCAACCAGATCAGGAAAAAGCCCACCTACCAGAGCTCCTACAGTAGTTGGTCCCACCACAATAGAAGGGCCCATGCAGCCCACATAGGGGGCACCCCTAGAGCACACAGCTCTAGTGACCAGAGGTGAGTGTGCTCTTGCCCCACTGGACATATCGTACATAAGGCCACTTCTGTAAGATTGGGAAATGTAACCAACCTACCTAATACATAGAAATAAACACAGAGAATTAGGCAAAATGAGGAGTCAGAGGAATATGTTCCACATTAAGGAACAAAACAAAATCTCAGAAAAAGAACTAAATGAAGTGAAGGTAAGCAAATCTACCTCATAAAGAGTTCAAGAGTAAAGATCATAAAAATGCTCAACAAACTCAGGAGAAGAATTAATGAATAAGGTGAGAATTTCAACAAAGAGTTAGAAAATATAAAGAAGGACAAGACAGAGGTAAAGAATACAATAACTGAGATATAAAGTACATTAGAAAGGATCAACAGTAGATTAGATGATACAGAGGAACATAGCAGCGAACTGGAAGAGGAGTGGAAATCACCCAAGCTGAACAGAAAAAGGAAAGAATTTTTAAATATGAGGATAGTTTAAGAGACCTCTGAGAAATGCAAATCAAAACTACAATGAGGTATCACCTCACACTAGTCAGAATGACCATCATCAAAAAATCTACAAACAGTAAAGGCTTGAGAGGATGTGGAGAAAAGGGAACCCTCTTGCACTGTTGGTGGGAATGTAAATTGATACAAGCACTATGGAGAACAGTATGGAGGTTCTTTAAAAAACTAAAAATCGAACTATCATACGACCCAGCAATCCCACTACTGGGCATATACCCTGAGAAAACCATAATTCAAAGAGTCATGTACCACAATGTTCCTTGCAGCTCTCTTTACAATAGCCAAGATATGGAAGCAACCTAAGTGTCCATCGACAGATGAATGGATAAAGAAGATGTGGCACATATACACAATGGAATATTACTCAGCCATAAAAAGAAACGAAATTGAGTTACTTGTAGTGAGGTGGATGGACCTAGAGCCTGTCATACAGAGTGAAGTAAGTCAGAAAGAGAAAAACAAATACCATATGCTAACACATATATATGGAATCTAAATTTAAAAAAAAAGGTTCTAAAGAACCTAGGGGCAGGACAGGAATAAAGATGCAGACATAGAGAATGGACTTGAGGACATGTGGAGGGAGAAGGGTAAGTTGGGACTATGTGAGAGAGTGGCATGGACTTATAAATACTACTAAATGTAAAATAGATAACTAGTAGGAAGCAGCTGCATAGCACAGGGAGATCAGCTTGGTGCTTTGTGACCACCAAGAGGGGTGGGATAGGAAGGGTGGGAGGGAGAAGCAAGAGGGAGGAGATATGGGGATATATGTATATGTATAGTTGATTCATTTTGTTATAAGGCAGAAACTAACACACCATTGTAAAGCAATTATACTCCAATAAAGAAGTTAAATAAAAAAAGAAAATTACAGGGCTTCCCTGGTGGCGCGGTGGTTGAGAGTCCGCCTGCCGATGCAGGGGACGTGGGTTCGTGCCCCAGTCCAGGAGGATCTCACATGCTGCGGAGCGGCTGGGCCCGTGAGCCATGGCCGCTGGGCCTGCGCGTCTGGAGCCTGTGCTCCGCAGTGGGAGGGGCCACAGCAGTGAGAAGCCCACGTACCACAAAAAAAAAAAAAAAAAAAAAGAAAATTACCGACCAATATCACTGATCAACATAGATGCAAAAATTCCCCAAAAAATATTAGAAAAAAATATCTAATGATACATTAAAAGGATCATACACCATGATCAAGTGGGATTTATCCCAGGGATAAAAGGATTGTTTTTGATTCAAAATCAATGTGATATACCACATTAACAAACTGAATAAAAATAATCATGATCACAACAATAGATGCAGAAAAGGCTTTTCACAAAATTCAACATCCATTTATAATAAAAACTGTCAACAAAGTGGGTACAGGGAACATACCTCAACATAATAAAGGCCGTATATGACAAACCTATAGCGAACATCATACTCAACAGTAAAAAGCTGTAACCATTTCCCCTAAGATCAGGAATAAGACAAGGATGCCCACTCTTGTCACTTTTATTCAACATAGTATTGGAAGTCCTAGCCACAACAATCAGACAAGAAAATAAGAGGAATCCATATTGGAAAGGAAGAAGTAAAACTGTCACTGTTTGCAGATGACATGATACTATACATAGAAAATCCTAAAGATGCCACCAAAAAACTACTAGAGCTCATCAATGAATTTGATAAAGTTGCAGGATATAAAATAAATATACAGAAATCTGTTGCATTTCTGTAACTAAAAATGAACTAGTAGGAAAAGAAATTAAGGAACAATCCAATTTACAACTATATCAAAAAGAATAAAATACCAAGGAATAAGTCTAACCAAGGAGGTAAAAGACTTGTACTTGGAAAACTATAAGACACTGATGAAAGCAACTGAAGATGACACAAACAACTGGAAAGATACACCGTGCTCATGGGTTGGAAGAATTAATATAGTTAAAATGACTATACTACCCAAGGAAATCTACAGATTCAGTGCAATCCCTATCAAAATACCAATGACGTTTTTCGCAGAACTAGAACAAATAAGTCTTAAATTTGTATGGAAACACAAAAGACCTCGAATAGGCAAAACAATCCTGAGAAAGAAGAAAGGTGGAGGTGTCACATGCCCTGATTTCCAACTATACTGCAAGGCTATGGTAATCAAAACAGTATGGTACTGGCACAAAAACAGACACATAGTTCTATGTAACAGGATAGAGAGTCCAGAAGTAAACCCATACTTATATGGTCAACTAATCTATGACAAAGGTGGCAAGAATATACAATGGGGACTAGACAGCCTCTTCAATAAAAGGGGTTGGAAAAACTGGACTACTTTTTCACACCATATACAAAAATAAACTCAAAATGGATTTAAAATTTAAATGTAAGACCTGAAACTATAAAACTTCTTGAAGAAAACATAGGCTGTAGATACACTCTTTGACATTGGTTTTAGTTTTATATATATATATATATTTTTTTTTTGATCTGTATCTTCAGGCAACAGAAAGAAAAGCAAAAATAAACAAATGAGACTACATCAAACTAAAAAGCTTTTGCACAGTGAAGTAAAATATCAACAAAATGAAAAGGCTGCCTACTGAATGGGAGAAGCTATTTGCAAACAATATATTTGATAAGGGGCTAATATACAAAATATACAAAGAACTCATACAAGTCAACATCAAAAAACATACAGCCTGATTAAAAAATGGGCAGAGGATCCAAATAGAAATTTTTCCAAAGAAGACAGACAGATGGCAAACAGCAATGTGAAAAGATGCTCAGCATCAATAATCATCAGGGAAATGCAAATCAAAACCACAATGAGTTATCACCTCACAGCTGGCAGAATGGCTAGCATCAAAAAAGACAACAAATAACAAATCTTGGCCAGGATGTGGAGAAAAGGGAACCCCTGTGCCTTGTTGGTGGGAATTTAAATTGGGGTAGTCATTATGGAAAACTGTATGGAGGTTCCTCCAAGAATTAAAAATAGAACTGCCATATGATCCAGCAATTTCACTCTTGGGTACTTCCTGAAGAAAACAAACACCAATTCAAAGAGATATATGCACCTCAATGTTCACTGCAACATTATTTATAACAGAAGGTATGGAAGCAATGTAAGTGTCCATTGATGAATGGATAAAGAAGACGTGGTGTGTACATGTACACACACACACAAAATGGAATACTACTCAGCCATAAAAAATAAAATCTTGCCACCTAGGACAACATGGATGGATCTAGAAGTGAAATAAGTCAGACAAAGAAAGACAAATACCGCATGATCTCACTTACATGTGGAATGTAAAAACAAAACAAACAGACAAAACAAAATGAAAAGAGACACATAGATACAGAGAACAAATTCTGGTGTTTGACAGAAGGTAGAGGTGTGGGGTAGGGGGGAAAATAGGTGAAGGGGATTAAGAGGTACAAACCTCCTGATGTATAATAAATACGTTATGGGGATGTAATATACAACATAAGGAATATAATCAATAATATTGAAATAACTTATTATGGGGACAGATGGTTACTAGAGTGTGATGATCATTTCATAATGTATGCAAATGTCAAAGCATCATATAGTACACCTGAGATTTACGTATTGTTGTATGTCAACTAAATTTAAGTTAAAAAAGAGTCATCAAGACCTGAATTTAGGGTGGATTATTAGGAACACATTAACTAAACAACCACCACTACAACAACAACAAAATTCAACCTTTCACACTGCCAAGATACATACCCTGCTAGTATCTTTGCTATGCTTGTTATGGGCTAAATTGTCTTCCCCCCAAATTTGTATTTTGAAGTCCTAACTCCCCAGTACCTCAGAATGTGATGTATTTGGAGGAAGAGTCTTTAAACAGGTAATGAAAGTAAAATGATGTCATTAGGGAGGGCCCTAACCCATTATGACTGGTGTACTTATAGGAAGAGGAGATTAGGACACAGACACACATGGAGGGAAAACGACAGAAGACAAAGGAGAAGACAGCCATCTACAAACCAAGGAGACAGGCCTCTGAAGAAACCAATCCTGCCAACACCTTGATCTCAGACTTTTAGCCTCTAGAACTGTGAGAAAGAAATATTTTTGTTGTTGAAGCCAAAAAGCAATAACAGAAACAAAAACAGTGGTGAAACAAGACTTAAAGAAAGGAGACTGATAAAGGAAATTCTGGGGATAAGAGGAGGGGAAAAAAATCAGAAGATGCTAAATAGTTCAATATGTCAAATGGAAGGAATTCTGGTCTAGAAACCAAAATGTAAAATGTAGATATTTTTATTCTGATTAGTTCTGACAGCCCTAATGGACAGCATACTTCTACAATGCAATTTTGTTCATCTATTAAAACAGGATTCAGCCTTCTTTCCCCACTACATAAAGCTTTAGAATTAAATTTGTCCATCTTTGGAATAGTGATGTTGGTAGGTTTTCTAAAGGTCTGATGAACTGGCTGTAATGCTCACAAAATAAGTCCGAGATGACAAGTTGGATTCCTGAAGGGATATAATTCAAAAACATGTCAAGTTTTTGCTCACTAGAATAATTTTCTAAGTTGTATTGTCTCATTTTCCTGAGGTTTTTAAGAGGAAAGTAAATAATTCACCAAGAATCTTTGAAGAATGCTTTTGAGTACTTGAAAAGTACTTTGAAAGATCTTAGTACTTTGAAAAATCTTAATTATGACATGGTAACAACAAAACAATTATGATTCTCAATATCATGCCCATCACGACAGGCACTGCATGTGTGATGGTAACCATAGAAAAGAGGGAAATTATATACAATTAACATTTTCTGCTCAGTAAAAGAACTAATCTATTGCTTTCACAGTATTCCAACATGGATCTTTTCCCACTTATTCACTGTTTTTAACCCTATATGAGGAGGGAAGGAGAGGAATTCCACACTTGGGATCCTGTTGCATACCTACATTTGTGCATATAGATCCAGGGCCACCTGGCCAAGTAACCTCCAGGAAAGGGGGGATAAAGAAGGTATGAACTAGTGGTTCTTAAAGTGTGGTCCCCAAAGCAGCAACTTCAGCATCTCTGGGTACTTGTTAGAAATGTGAAACTTCAGGCCCTACCCCAGACCTCTGAACTGGACACTGGGAGTGAGGTCCAGACATCTGTGTGCTGACAAACCCTCCAGGTGATGCTGAAACATGCTAAAGTTTGTCAAAGTTTGAGAACCAGTGGAGACATTTCTACAGTTGAAATGCATGTTCCATTGCAAGTAGTCTGGACTGGCTGACATTCACTTCAAGGCCCCAGAACATTCCCACGAAGGCATCCATTAGATAGTATGTACAGAGCATCATCATGATGGCTCAGGGAAAGCACCTAAAGGCGTCCAGTCCCTAATAGTCCCTCAACATTCCCAGGGAAATGTTCAACCAACTTCAGCATTTTCTGTCTTTACTGCTCCTTCAGAGGGAAGTCTTCCAACTTTGTGGTTTGCTCAGAACAGAGCAATTTAGAAAGGAGGACGTTGGGAGGCCTTCAGGAAACAGGCTTATGATTGGGCTCCCAGAAGCTACTGAGGAAGCATATAGAATACATCTTTTTCACAACCAGAGAGCATATATGATTGCTCATCTTGGATAACTTGCAAATGCAATTTCTCTGACAAGGCAATCTAAGCGCCTCTGCAAATTCCAGGATTCTGGAAGCTGTCACCAGGCCCAGCAAACATGGAGGCCTAAGTTCAAAGCATGGGAGTAGCAGGTACTTTATGTCCTCCAGAGCTGGACATGGAAGGAAGCAGAAGAGGGGACAGTGGCGGTTTTTGCCCCAGAAAACACCAGGTATTGACCCAGGGCCTCAGGAATCAACATGGCTGCTTGACCCAGCAGACAGTAAGAAGCTTGAGGGGGCTCAGTCTTCCAGGGTTGAACACTAATTCTGTATCCTACACTTGTGGTTCTTTATCTTCCCTTCCTTGGCATGTGGTAAGTTTTCCCCCAAATACTTATGACTCACTCTTTCTCCTCAGTTCGCTCTTTGCTCCATGTCCACTGGACTAAATTCTACAGTAGAAAGAGTACAGGCATCAGAGTCAGCCTTAAACTTGAATTTAATACTCCACCATTTGTTTTCTAGTTGTGTGACCTCATGTACGCTTCTTAACCTCTGAGTCTCAATTTATTCACCTATAAAGTGGAATTAATAAGGCCTACCATCCAGGTTGTTGTCATAATTAAAACAAGTATTGTAGGTAAAGTGTCCAGTGTATGGACCCACTCAAAACACGCTGCATTCTTTCTTTCCCTCTTCTTTCCACCATGCATGGGTACAGTTGGGAGTATTTTTATTTTTTAAGCTACTGAGGCCAATAGGCAAATGAAATCATTATATCTCACCAAGGAAGAGTAATTTGTTTTCATGTACTGAAGTAGGACAAAGACGCAGCAGAGCCTCAGCCCTTACAAAACAGGATGGACACACACACACACACCCCTCTTTTTATTTGTGTAAACGAGGATTTGGGCATTTAACTGAGAGGTGGAACTCTGAAATTAAATACTGTGTGTGGAAAGGATCTGACCATTACCCTCAGCCCCACTGCAGAAGCCTAAGAGGGGCATGTGATGCTCTGTCCTAAATGCCTCTCACCACAGTGGTACACGTACATCTCCCCAGAGGGACCCCAATTCCCCAGTATATCCATTGAGACTAGGTTGTAATAAACCATTGAGCAGTCACAGTTTAAAGCACACAACATAGCCTTCAAGTTGCTGGACCTGCCCAGCCTCCCCACCTGTCACCGAGCAGGACCCTATGGGGCTTTCCCAGAACAGCCTTGCCCCCTCACCCCATCATGTTCTCCACCTGCCTCTTGTCTATAGAAACACTTTAGCCTCCTAGGCCTTCCCCGATCTCCAAAGAGTAAATTTAATCAGCGAGGTGAGAAAACTCAGAAAGGAAAACAGTCAAGCAAGACAACATAATAATAGTTTAGCTATTAAACAAAGTCAAGGACCTTTAGTTCCTCCTCAAGGACTATAGATAATATTCTGAGCCACATCTTTTGAGCTGTTTTGCAGAGACTGAAACACCCACCAGGTGGAAGAAGTTAACTGTATGGCGTCCACAAGCACGTAGACCTCAGACGGGTTGGAACCAGAAGGTTCGTGATGCTGATGTTGTTGACTCCCCATTACCGCACCACCAACCAATCGGAAGAATGTCCACAAGCTGATCACAACCCCCCTCCCTCACCCTGTCTTTAAAAACGTTTCCCTGAAAGCCTTTGAGGAGTTCAGGCCTTTTGAGCACTAGCTGCCCTGGACTCCTTGCTTGGCACCTGCAATAAACGCTGCACTTTCCTTCACCACCACCTGGTGTCAGTAGATTGGCTTTACTGTATATGGACAAGTGACCCAAGTTTGGTTCAGTAACACACCCAGTGGAAGGTGGCTGAGTGGAGGCCTGGCGCTGGATTGATACATGTGTGGTCTTCCCCGACATCTAGACTCACAAGGTAACACAGAGATTCATGGTTGCCAGGTTGTCCGGTTGGTGTACTAGGCACCGTACCTGGCTCCAAGGCTCCACCTGCCACTCCTCGCAGGGCTCCAGGTTACAGCTCATGCTCAGTGGAGGAGGAGGGCCAGCCAGGAACTGGCAGTGAAATGGCCTCAGGCTGCGGTGGTCCCGGCTGTCCACACACTGAATATCCCGGATCTGGAAGCCCCCGCTGCAGTTTCTGGAGCACTGTATGGAGAGCGAGAGAAAAGGGGACACCTGAGTCCTTGGCATCAGACCGTCCATGCCTGGATTCCCAGGGGTTTCACAAAGCATCACGAAGTTCCAGGCTTCCAGTCACGAAGAGGGGTTAGTAAACTGTCTTCCCTCAGAAAGGGAGTCACTTGAGCAGCTCCCCAAGAGGGGCCTCCCAATGTCAGAAAATGCAGGTGTGGAAGGGTGAAAACCAGGTGAAAAGTCCAGTTCTGTCACTCACTCATAGTGAGCCCTTGGGCGAGCTGCAGAAACATTCTGAGCCTCAGCTGTCATATCTGTAAACTGGGATAGTAACCGTTACCTATGGGACTGTTGTGAAGATTACAGCCGCAGGGGTGGGCTTGGGGTGAGGGTGGCGCAGCATCCACTCAGTGGGTGGATGTTCCCTAAGATGCCTGTGTCCATTTGAGGCAAACGGAACCGCTGTTGGGGGAGCCCCCTGCAAAGCCACAGCCAACTGTCCCTCAAAATCCTACTGAAAACCCATTTTCTCCCTGAGTGTGAATGCAGGTTGGGTTACCTTGTTTCAAGGGAAGGGCCTCTATAAGGAAAATAAACTGAATAACTGCTCAGTGGTTTGATTCAGGGAGTGGGCCAATCCTGTCCTTTCCCCTACTGCCAGGTTTCCCCCTACAGCACCATCGCCCACCATCCTTCCTTCTATAGCCTCCATTACCAAGGGTTTTCTCAGCGTGTGCCTGCAGCAAGCCCTTACAGAGGCCCCCCTCACGCCCCCTACCCTGTGCCCGTACCTTGCGCAGCGGCCCCTGCACCCTGCTCTCAGTAAAGGGCACTGTTCACTCGCAGGCTGCTGATTTCCTTAAGATCATGATAAACACGGCTGAGCCTGGGTCACCTAAAACCAGAGTTTACGTGGCCTATTCTGGAGGACTTCTTTGGTTCACTCTCTGACCTCTTGGATTCTGGAAGCTTCTCCATCCCCCACCTAGTTAGATTTTACTTAATTGTAACTTGAGCTTCCAAGACTTGGTCTGTCTGCAGTCTGTGTAGAATGCTGGTGCCATCAGTTTCCCTTCAGCTTGTCTTGCCTGTGCATCCTAGTCTCTCAAGGCCAGTCCTGGCCTGTCTTGTCACTGCCCACACTCAGGTGGGGACCCGAAGTAGGTGGCATGGGGCCTGATCTCTGTGCTCCTCAGCCCCTCTCCCCCAGATTCTCCGTGGATTAACAATATGTCCTGTGGTCCTTGTGTCCCAAATATTCCTTCCTCCACCCTTCGCATTACTTGCTACGGCCCCTCCTTTAACTTAGCATAAATGTCACATTCTCTGCTGCGCCTTCCTTGAATACCTTCTCCAAAGGATACCTATCCCTCTTGTTATTTATCTCAGATCCTTCCTTGTTTCCATCAAAAGAACTTGAAATGTGAAACAACTTTTATTTATTCTGTCCATCCTTTCTATTAAACTATCACTGCCCTGAAGTTGGAAGCCTATCTGCCCTGGTCACCATTGTGTCTTGAGCATCTAGCATGGGGCTAGGGGCAGCATAGATGTTCCCCACAGCTTGCTGAATGAATATATGAATTCTGAGAAAAGAGCAAGTGGGGGCTCCCAGTGGACTAAAGAGATCTGTGGTCGCTATAAAGAGCATCCTTCTTCACTCTCTCAATCCTTCCATTGATGATCTCATTACAGTCTTGGCTGAGAAAATGCACCACCACCAAGGTGTGCGCATTGCTGTAAGGTATATTTTCATCTGGCCCTCTCTCTACATGGTAAAATATCATGCTTTCTGGTTATGGTGGCATAATCATAATTGTAAGGTTGTGGATGGTGAAAGGAAATTCCTCAAAACCTTTCAGTAGAGGTATATCCCAAAATACTGATCCCCATCCTTCTGCCACCAGGCAGATTGCACAAGTCAGCTGACATCAAACCTTGGGCTGTAACATAGAAGATGTGGGCCCATATGACAAGGGGGCAGATTGATGCTCTAATGCTTCCATAAATCAAGTGTGTTTAGCTTCTCAGAAATAAGCAACACTTGCCAGACAGCCCCCACAAAAAATTCAAAATTTCATTTGCCTGCCATGCTGTAAGTACACAGAGAAAAAAGTAACTGCCAATTTAAAATCAGTCACAGAACAGAAGCTTCTGGGTTGGTGAACACATGGAGGTGCTGGGAGAGTGGCGTGCCTGAAGAAGGCATGGGAACTCTGCTCCCATTCCCCGTGCCTTGCCCTATGCATCCCTTTCATCTGGCTGTTCCTGAGTTATATCATTTTATGATCAACTGCAGATCTACCGTGTGGATGACAGGGTCTTGGTGCTCGACTGGGGGTCAGGCCTGTGCCTCTGAAGTGGGAGAGCCGAGTTCAGGACATTGGTCCACCAGAGCTCCCGGCTCCACGTAATATCAAACGGCGAAAGCTCTCCCAGAGATCTCCACCTCAACGCTAAGACCCAGCTCTACTCAACAACAAGCAAACTACAGTGCTGGACACCCTATGCCAAACAACCAGCAAGAAAGGAACACAACCCCACCCATTAGCAGAGAGGCTGCCTAAAATCATACTCAGTTCACAGACACCCCAAAACACACCACAAGCCCAACAGAAAGACAAGATCCAGACTCATCCACCAGAACACAGGCACTAGTCCCCTCCACCAGGAAGCCTACACAACCCACTGAACCAACCTTAACCACTGGGGTAAGACACCAAAAACAATGGGAAGTACGAACCTGCAGAATGTGAAAAGGAGACCCCAAACACAGTAAGTTAAGCAAAATGAGAAAACAGAGAAACACACAGCAGATAAAGGAGCAACGTAAAAACTCACCAGACCAAACAAATGAAGAGGAAAGAGGCAGTATACCTGAAAAAGAATTCAGAATAGGGAGAGTAAAGATGATCCTAAAATTGGAAATAGAATGGAGAAAATACAAGAAACGTTTAACAAGGACCTAGAAGAACTAAAGAGCAAACAAACAATGATGAACAACACAATAAATGAAATTAAAAATTCTCTAAAAGGGATCAATAGCAGAATAACTGAGGCAGAAGAACGGATAAGTGACTTAGAAGATAAAATAGTGGAAATAACTACTGCAAAGCAGAATAAAGAAAAAAAGAATGAAAAGAATTGAGGAGAATCTCAGAGACATCTGGGACAGCATTAAATGCACCAACATTCGAATTATAGGGGTCCCAGAAGACGAAGAGAAAAAGAAAGGGACTGAGAAAATATCTGAAGCGATTATGGTTGAAAACTTCCCTAATATGGGAAAGGAAATAGTCAATCAAGCACAGAGAGTCCCATACAGGATAAATCCAAGGAGAAACACGCCAATTCACATAATAATCAAACTATCAAAAATTAAATACAAAGAAAAAATATTTAAAGCAGCAAGGGAAAAACAACAAACAACATACAAGGGAATTCCTATAAGCTAACAACTGATCTTTCAGCAGAAACTCTGCAAGCAAGAAGAGAGTGGCAGGACATACTGAAAGTGATGGAAGGGAAAAACCTACAACCAAGATTACTCTACCCAGCAAGGATCTCATTCAGATTCGATGGAGAAATTAAAACCTTTATAGACAAGCAAAAGTTAAGAGAATTCAGCACCACCAAACGAGCTTTACAACAAATGCTAAAAGAACTTCTCTAGGCAGGAAACACAAGAGAAGGAACAGAACTACAATAGCAAACCCAAAACAATTAAGAAAATGGTAATAGGAACATACATATCAAAAATTACCTTAAATGTATATGGATTAAATGCTCCAACCAAAAGACATGGATTGGCTGAATGGATACAGAAACAAGACCCATACATATGCTGTTTACAAGAGACCCACTTCAGACCTAGGGACACATACAGACTGAAAGTGAGGGGATGGAAAAAGATATTCCATGCAAATGGAAATCAAAAGAAAGGTGGAGTAGCAATTGTCATATCAGACAAAATAGACTTTAAAATAAAGACTATTACAAGAGACAAAGAAGGACACTACATAATGATCAAGGGATCGATCCAAGAAGAAGATATAATAATTGTAAATGTTTATGTACCCAACATAGGAGCACCTCAATACATAACGCAAATGCTAAGAGCCATAAAAGGGGAAATCGACAGTAACACAATCATAGTAGGAGACTTTAACACCTCACTTTCACCAATTGACAGATCATCCAAAATGAAAATAAATAAGGAAACACAAGCTTTAAATGATACATTAAACAAGTTGGACTTAATTGATATTTATAGGACATTCCATCCAAAAACAACAGAACACACTTTCTTCTCAAGTGCTCATGGAACATTCTCCAGTATAGATCATACCTTGGGTCACAAATAAAGCCTTGGAAAATTTAAGAAAATTGAAATCATATCAAGTATGTTTTCCAACCACAACGCTATGAGACTAGATATCAATTACAGGAAACAACCTGTAAAAAATACAAACACATGGATGCTAAACAATATACAACTTAATAACCAAGAGATCACTGAAGAAACCAAAGAGGAAATCAAAAAATACCTAGAAACAAATGACAATGAAAACATGCTGACCCAAAACCTATGGGATGCAGCAAAAGCAGTTCTAAGACGGAAGTTTACAGCAATACAATTCTACCTCAAGGTACAAGAAACATCTCAAATAAACACCCTAACCTTACACCTAGAGCAATTAGAGAAAGAACAAAAAAACCCCAAAGTTCGCAAAAGGAAAGAAATCATAAAGATCAGATCAGAAATAAATGAAGGAAACAATAGCAAAGATCAACAAAACTAAAAGCTGGTTCTTTGAGAAGATAAACAAAATTGATAAACCATTAGCCAGACTCATCAAGAAAAAGAGGGAGAAGACTCAAATCAATAGAATTAGAAATGAAAAAGGAGAAGTAACAACTGACACTGCAGAAATACAAAGGATCATGAGAGATTACTACAAGCAACTATATGCCAATAAAATGGACAACCTGGAAGAAATGGACAAATTCTT